TTTATTTAGAATTTGTAATAGTGATGTTAATGGTGAAGGATGCTCTAATAGTTCACTGTTCTATTGATTCCATATACTTCTTACACTCTTATATAGGCCTATGTCGACCTATAATTACGAAAATGTGTGTGGGCGTTATTCTCGCTTGTTTTAAGCGAAATTTGCACTTCTACATCATCATGACCTTATTGTGATGTGTGTTTATTACCATCATTGCAATCATAACAGTTATTGAAACAAACCAAAAACTCTGCTTAAATATCTGTTTTTAGACGAAACAAACACGTGGTGACATCGTCGTCCATGAATTTACCAGAGGACTTACTAGTACTCCGATTACTTAAATTTACTGTGGTTACTCCGATGGTAAGTTATTAGTGAATACCATCGCAGTCTGTTTTCGATGGTAACTGTAGCTGTAACTGTAGTGATTTTACCATCGCAAGTGCGTGAGCGAATCCAGCCCATGTGTTCTAATTTGTTATCTTATACCAGAAATACGTAAGAACGAAATGTAAAAATCTTGAAATATGCTATGAGTTCAATATCGATATATAAATATGTTTTTTATTGTTTTCTTAGAAATACTTTTTTTTTCGATCGTGCTGCCGTCTATCGGCGAATTTACCAGTTTTGTTGTGCTAGTGACAGTGCTCGTAACTCGTTCCGGAAATGATTTTTTTTCTTCTTTTTTTACAGTGTTATTTGTGTTTTCGAATTCTTTGTCGATGTTACGACGAAGACGAACTATTAACGAAACTGTCATGATCTCAGGGACAAACCCAAGTCAAGATCAGTAACGTAACTGCGTAATAATAGCAGAAGTTTTCGTCACCTTTCCAACCTGCCCTCCCTTCGTCATAAGGTAAACCGCAAATTTGCATCTTTAAACGACGCTGAATAGTGTAATGAATTATAGGCAGTCGGGTAAGCAAAGTGCACAGTGTTGGGAAGGTGGTTGATGTGATTAAAAATGCACATACACGAGCTCTTATATCTCAATTCCTGATTTTTACGATTCCACTGCGAACTATGGAAGGGGAGAAGGGGAGCAAAATCGTCTCCCAGCAGCTCCTCAAGGGAAACCGAGGTATGTATTATACGGAGAGTGATTGCTCGGCAATAAGTACGCGGTGTGTCATTCTGTTGCGTTGTTCTCTCGGTCAGTTCCGTTGTATGCCGCTCGGAACCTTCGTGACTGAATCTTGGTTCATTTAAATGATTATATTATTGCTTATTAGAGTCGATTCTTTGCTCTAGATATGTCTTGTTGTTGTAATGATAATCCTCATTCTTCTCTGATTTATTAATATTGAATCAGTTTTTTTTGATCGCCAGTCATCTATTATCATCATCTTCACACCACGACGATATGACACAATCGAACCAGCAAACGGTACATACATACCATCGGCTCACAGCGCACACGGTCACTCACATGAACCTCGGTCACTCCATATAACCTCAGTACAACAAAACCAACACAGCTCGGTACACACGAACCATTCGATACAAACCACGACATACGGTGGCATCACCACCTACCGTCACTCAACACCAACCACCACGCAACACAGCCGGTCACTATATACAACATTACACTATAAGACTATCTACCTCACGTCACACATTCAACCACGTCAGCCACTACAAACCGTCACAACCACCACCGTCACACCTTACCACGTCAGCCACACACCGTCACGACACGCAGCCACGACACCACGCACCACCACACGACGCACCACCAAGCGCACCGACTACCAAACTGGAACCGACACACAACACGACACGAGCCACCAAAACGCTACGCACCACGAACGCACCGTCTACCACGACGACTACTCAGACCACACGACTGGACACGCGTACAGCTACACTACGATCTACCGACCGCGCCACACGTCAACCACCAGCCACGACTACACCGCACCACACCACAGAGCTACCACCAGCGACCACAGGCATGATACTCAGACACCGACCGGTCAGACACACTACGCTAACTGTCACAGCAGACACCGTACGACTAGCACACACGACTACACGAGGACCAATCCACCGTCACCACCTACACCGACGACTGACCTGACCTAGTTACGACACCGACCTTTGGTCACGCGACCATAACCCACCACGACTACGATCGTCACCACACCTACACGATTACACCGTCACCACCAGCACCGACTACCACCGCCAGACCACCACGTCAGCCACCACCACCGACGACTACCTACGCGCACAGCGTCACATCCACGACCACGACTACGGCACCGTCACCTTGACACCACCCACACTACCACCACGACTATACCACTGCTACGACCTACCTCCACGACTCGCCTCGTCCGCGACCACCACCGTCACCGACCACCACCACGTCAGCCTACCACCAGACGACACACCTTGTCACCACCACCGCAGCGACTACCCGACCGTGCACACCACCTTAGCACGTAACTCGGCACAGTGCACCTACCAAGCGAACGACTACTAGCCTGAGACGACCACGCAACGGTCACATATCACCACACGACTACCGACGGGCGACCACCACCGTCACGCACCAACCACCAAGACTACCACGGTCACCGACCACTACACGACTACCACAGACCCACACCGATCATTGTACTCACCACGTCATCACCGATGGCTCATCACCATCACCGGACGCCGGCCGACCTACCATTTAATCATGTTGGATCACGCATTCATTTTATCATCACCATCACCATCCACTCGTTGTACCGATGCATGCATCAATCATCATGTACCACCACCGATCACCACCACAACGGACCACAGCCACCACGCCCATCTACTGTCTCATCATTAATCATGCACACCATACACACACACCATCGCTACTAGCCAAAGGACCACCACCATCGTACCAGACCGGTGGAGCCACGCTACGATCATTCCTCATCATCATCATGCATGCATTCATCATTCCATGCATCATCATATCTAATCACATCATCCCTTCATAAATGCAATCACCTCATGCATGCATCATGCATCATCATCACACTACCGCACACGCATCCACACAGCAGCACTATCCGCACCGACCATGCATCGACCTATCCTCATTACACAGAGAGATCTATCAGCCTCGATACCTACATAATGCTTTTTTATTACTATTATTTTCATTATTTTTTCTTATTCAGCATCAAGATATAATTAAGTCATAAATCTATTCATCAACTTTTTATTAATTCTTATTAGTATTATTGTTATAGATTTGGTCATTGGCATTGCGCATTTGTGAAATTGTCATTGTACATTATCAAATGCCCTTTTTATATGTCTTAATAATTCTTTATTCTATTATTGTTATTTATCCTTACTTCTAGTATTATTATTATGATTATTATTATTAACATTATTTGTTTTATTAATTATTATTATTGATTTATTATTATTATTATATTATTATTATTCATTATTATTAATCTATCCTTATTATTATTATTATTATTATGTATCATCATTCATTTCATTATTATTAATTAATCAACATATTATCATTATCATTAATTATTTTTTATTATTATGTTATGTAGATTGATCATTGAGTTATTTATTAATTAGTTATTTTTTTATTTTTATTAATCCATTTTGGTTATGCGATTTGTGATTGATCCATCATCATGTTTCTATTTATCGTAATCGAGCTTTATTTAGCAGTTTAAATATTTTCAACATCTGATACTGATTTATTATTATCTAATTGAATGCATTGGGGTAGAATTAATGTTCATTTTGTCTCATTGTGTTGGGTTGTGATTGTGATGGTTGTTTCTCTGTTTCTCATAATGTATTCATTAACAGAACGCTAGTGATTGTTTGTTTATATATATTATTTTTTTGTTTTATATGTATTAAAGATAAACTATTTATAACAGTTTAAATAGATTATGTTATTGGTAATTTTCAGTTTTTTTCATTTTCCGAATTTTGTATTTCAGTGGTCTGTTTAACCGTAGAATATGAATTTTCTACGATCTTTGCCATTGTTTTTAATCTTGACTAAATATCTCCTACTTACTGAAACATATTACTTTGATGTCATCTTTTATTTGCTTTTATTTTATAAATCCCTTCTGGTTTTCAATTTCTATTAATTGGCCTTTCTCTGTTTTTTTTTTCTTTTCTTCTCCGTTCTCGCCGTCTTCTTGCTTTGCCGTCTCCTTTGCTGGTCGTTATTTTAATTCTCCTTCTCTTTTTTTATTATTTTAGCTGCTTATTACTTTTTTATATTTCTTGTGTTTTTAAATTGTTTTCTAATACAGTCTTTTCCGCATTAATAGATATTGAATAAGAATATGGTTGCAACGATATATAGAGACTTTTACTAAGTGATTTTGTATGTCGATATGAGAACGTGTTAAATGTGGTGATTATATAGGTTTTACCATATGTATAGTATTTTTCGATGATCGCATCTTGTAACAGCTTAAAGATGTAAATATAGTATATTAGTCATATTAATATATATATATAATATTATATATATAGTATACGTATATTATATATGTATGTATATATATGATGTATAAAAAAAAAAAAAAAAAATATATGATATATATATATTACTATATAATATATATGATATTATATATAGTAGTATATCTCATATATATCTCTCACATATGTATACACAACAGCACACACGGAAGCACACACACACATATTAATTATATAATAATATAATATAGTATATAATATATATATATATATATATATAATAATACGTGTGTATATAATTAAATATATGTATATCAGTATTATATATATATATTATATATATAGTATAATATACTTATCTTTACTGTGTATAAATATGATAGTATATATTATATATAGTACTATATGTTGATGAGAGACATAGTTATATGAGTATTGTATAATGTGCAGCACGTACACGAGCATTGCGACACGACAGGACGCAACATAGGTGGATCGCCTCGGCCAGTGTTCGGTGAGTAGTGCACACGATGTTCTGCTGCCCTCTCTCGCGCTGTAGTCGTGAGGTTACACGAACAGCGACACAACACGCACCCACACAATACACAATGCGAGGATGGTGCCGGCTAGTTGCATGGTCTTTGTGTCTGGTATGCCATGTATAGTGCATCATATGATTAAGTCTATATATTTATTTATATATATATATATATCATATATACTAATATATTATATATATATATATACTATAATATATAGTAATGTTATATATTGTATATATATATGTTATATGTATGTTATATATAGTATATTGTATATATATAGCTATCACATATACATTATAATATACATATTGTATATGTAATACAATATTGATAGTAATGCTATATTATGTATATATATAGTGAATAGTATGATATATATATATATATTATAGGTATTACAGATATATTAGGTAAGTATTAGCTGTATACAAATGTACTATAGTCTAATATATATACATATATCATGAATTATTTATATATATAAATTATAGTATATATAGTACTAGTGAGCATTATATTATATAAAGTGTATATATATAGTATATGTCTGGTATTTATATAATATGTATGTAATGTTATATATTATGTATCATATATATGATTATTAATATACTATATATATAGTATATATAGTTATATATATATGATAATCGATATTAATGTACGTGATGTGTAATGTGTGGTTGTGTGGTGTGTGTGTGGGTGTGTGTGGTGTGTGTTTGTTTGTTGTATGTATGTATATGTATCTGTATTCAGTTGTTCACATATCCTTATTATTCATTCCAAGCTCATTTCCCCCATGGCTCCAACACGAAATTCAGCGACATTCAGCGAGTCACGACCAAACTTTCCTTGAGGTCTAGTCTCCCTCCTTCTCCCTCCCCTCCTCTGCCGCTCCCCTCTCCCCCTCCATCACTTCTCCCCTCCTCCCCTCCCTCCCTCCACTTCTCCCCCTTCCCCCACGGCCACCTCGAAGTCGGGGGGGATGGATGGGGGGGGGGGGGGTGGTGGGGGGTGGGGGGGTAGGGGGAGTTCGTCAGGCGGAGCATCGTTTATCTGCGGGACGGACTAGATATTGCAGCGAGAGACAGGCAATCCGAAGTTTAATTTTTTTCCCAAGATTAGTTTGTAATTAATGGCTTTTTTTTTTTTTTTTTTTTTTTTTTTTTTTTTTTTTTTTTTTTTTTTTGGAGGGGGTGGTTTGGAGGCGGAGATGGAAGGTGGGGGAGGGGGGAGAGAGAGGGGAAGAGGAAGGAGGGAGGTGGGACGATGGAGGGAAGAGGGGAGGTGGAGAGAATCGGAGTGGAGGGGAAGTGGGAAGTGAGAAGGAGAGGTAGAGGGAAGAAGTAAGGATAAGTTTAGGGAAGAAAGGAGGAGAGAGATGGAAGGAGGTGGGAGAGGGAAAAGAAAAGGAGGGGGATGGAAGGAAGAAGGAAGGGGGGGGGTTGGAAGGAGGGGGATGGAAGGAAGAGGGAAGGAGGGGATAGAAGGAAGAGGGAAGAGGGGGGAGGAAGGAAGAGGGAAGGAGGGGGATTGAGCATATGGAAAGGATTGGGGTATGGAAGGAGGGAAAGGAATGGAAGGAAGGAGGCAGGGAAATTAAGCTGCGATTCGATGTGGATGTGGAAGATAGAGGGAAGTGGAGGAGGGAGAGAGAGAGGGGAGATAGGGGAAGGTTTATTATGGTAGGGGGGATATTGGGGAAGAAGTAGGGGAAAGAGGAGAGAGGATGACTTTGGAAAGAGGAGAAAGGGGGCAAGGGGAGAAAGATAGATATGGAAAAAAAATTACTTTAATTTATTTCTTCCTCTCATTTTCTCGTAATTGGCGATGGATGATAATATCATCATTATTTCGTTCTTCCTCTCCCCTTCCTTTATCATCCTCTACATCTTCCCATCCTCTCTCTCTCTCCTCCTCATCCCTCAAATCCTTCACTTCCTCTCCTCTCCTATCTTGCCTTCCTCCGCTGAATTCCTCCTAACTCTTCCTTCCTACCTATCAACTTCCTTTCTACTCTCCCTCCTTCTTCCTATCCTTCTTCCCTCTCCCTTCCTTCTTCCTCTCACCCTCCTTCTCCTCCTCTTCCCTCTCCCCCTCTCTTCTTTCCTTTCCCTCTCCCCTCCTTCTTCCCTGCCCTCTCCCATCCTTTTGCCTTCCTTTCCCTAACTCTGCCTCTTCTTCTACACTACTTTCCTCTCCTTTCTGAACTTTTTATCGTCCTCCACTCCTCTTCCTCCTTCTCCTTTTTTCCTTCCCTTTCTCCTCTTCTTCCTCGATTTCCCTCTACTCCTTTTCTCACCTCCTTCCATTTTCCCCTTCCTCCACTTCTCTTCTCTCCTCCTCCTTAAAGTCTTTCCTCTCCTCCTCTTCTTCATTCCTCCACTTCCTCCTCGTCCTCTCCTCCTATCCCTTCCTCCCTCCTTCTCCCTCATTCCCCCCTTCTTCTCCCTCCTCCCTCCCCTCCTTCTCC